GTTATAGTATTATTCTAATGTCTAAGAGTGGGAATTTCTTTACATTTACATATTCTATATTACTATGTTACAAATTGAATGAATCCATCCATGTTGTAAATTCCGTTTTTTAGTATATTTAAAATATAACAGTAGATTTCGTTGAAAACATGTACAGTTTAACGTAATGTATATATTTATACATAAATATCTCACTGTATAATTCAAGTTTTTCTTTCTTTGAAGGAAGATTATTATGATTGACAAATAATTGTGATTAATGTTTGCGCTTCGATTGTATGAGATCAGACGTGTAGTTTCTAAGGAACGCATTACGACGTATTGTACAAAGATCCGTTCTGAATAACAGAATGTTATCTTAAAACGTAGAAACTCCTCTATATTTGTCTTTATGTTTTTTACCAGGTAAATACTACATAAAACATTTATAACAAATATTGCAATGATGTTTAATTGTTGCCTCTGCAGCCTGAATAAACAATAAGTATATCATAATAATGATATTTATTCTCATATACAAGGTAACATGTAACTATAAACATGTTGTTAAGTCACTTTAAGGTGAAAGCGTCATCACATTTGTACATTATAGAAAAAAAAGTAGCAAAGGATGAATTTTTATATAAATAATTTTTCTATTACCAATTTAAAATTCAATATTTATTGTATCAATGTCATAATCTTTCAATAACTTTTTCAAGTACATAATCTTTCATCAACACTTTTTTATTTCAAAGAGAAACTTTGTCCGAATTGTAATTCCTATTTCCATATTTACAACTATATAAATTCAATTGAAATTGAGGTACTACAGTGACTCTTTTCGTTAGTTCTATACCGCATGATTAATTTACCTCAACAGTGTGTGTGGTCGCACGAAACATTCGTTATAAAATTTCATTCGGATCGCCACGATTTTTCTCCAAAATTATTATTAAAAAATTCACATATCAAAAAGATGCGTGTCATCTATGCCTTTCATCGCATGATTTAACTCGTAACTCGTAAGAGCGTTTAATCATGCAATATGAATTATAAATACGATGTAAATAACTTCGAATTATCCTAGTCTGTTATAAAAATTGTGAACAACATTAGTGACTGTATCGAAAATGAATCTTGTCTCATATAAAATATTTACTCCAAAATAAATTGTTATGAAATAACGTGGGTTTCGTCATTGGTGTTAACAACAAACAAAAAGAAACTAAACCAATGACGTATAAAGGAAGCCTTCTGAATGGATCTTCAAATGCTGTAGAAAAATCTGGTAATTCCATGCAATTACAAAAAGAATGCGATATCACCGGTGCCGCTAAGTGTCCTGTTCATAAAAAAAGAAACGAATTATCGCATAATTTTATATTCAATTAAGGCAAGAGGCAAACAATGGAGTGAACGTACCTGTTTTAACAAACAGAAAAGCCGCGTACAATCCAAACAATGTCGTGTACGAACAGTGAAGACCTGATTAACAAGTGTGTACAGTTAGAGGAAATTTCCTAATGTGTTCATATGAAACCCGAATTACGAACGATACTTACACGATATCAAAAACGCACGCTTAAAGGTCATGCCTTCTTGTACCCTACATACTATATGATGCATGTGAGCAACCCCAAAAATTAAAGAGCATACGAATATCGCGGTAATCGGTGTGAAACATTGTAAAAGCACCGGTAACATGCATGCCCTGAACGTCCATTCTTCGGACAAAGGTGCGACAACTTGACTTCTCCACCACGTCAATGTCCTTTTATTTCCAGGCCAAAACATGGACTCTGGAACAGGAAAAACCTATATTTCAATAGTTGTTAATTGTAACACGGCAAATTCCTTGTAGAAAAATTAAATGCAAGCTCACCGGAACATAATCTCCATATCCCATCCCAACCCATTACGCTTAACGGTCCTAAAAATAGTATCATTGTTAACAATAATGGTATCACAATTGCTTGAATTAAACCTGGCCATCGTAGACCCAATAACTCCAAAATTGTTGCCTGAAACAATAAGGTATCTTATAGTTCAAGACATTCCTTCGAGCATAAGTCGCACGATCGTATAATTACCTTCTGGAAGACATTCTCGTTCATTCCAAAGTACAACGACGTAGGAGATACAAGGCATACGAAAAAAATGCTAATAAATCTCTTTTTTATCGCTGTAGCATAGTGCCTGCAAACATAAAAGAAAACTTGGAGGTCCGGGGAAGCATTCGCAAAGAACAGAAATGTTTTCAGCAAATTTTTGTCGATAGATCTTTACGCCGTTTAACCCATTATCATCCGGTGTCCTCTTTCGATTACACTTTTATTCGAATATTTTCCTACTGTTGCTCCCGATGCCAAGCATCCTCAGACAACAATACCTTTTATTATATCTAAATTATGAATTTTTACATTACCCACAAGTACACCTGAAAACAAAAAGATTCTTTTACATGACTTCCAACGAATTCTGTGAAAATAAATAATTCAGACGTTAATGGGTTAAACAAATCTGTTCTGGTTCGAAAACGGAGCATGTTGCGAGAGGTTGAAACGCGGTGCTGCTAGATAAAGAAGAATTCGAGGGTACAGATCCTTGTTATGACTGCACGAGTGGGAGAACTCTGGGGAAAGAGAGTAGTAGCATTCACGTTCACGGGACGACGTGAATACAGTTACACTTTGTTCGCGGTTCCCTGTGGTTCACCGTTAACATAACCGAGAGAGCGTGTTGCGCGAGGAATGGACATTTAAAAAAGACGATCGACGTTCGTCTCGCTGATCAGTTTTACTTTACCTATTGATCGGGAATCCCCACACATAGAGGCTCGCGACGTACACTGCAGGGAGACCGAGACATGATAAAATCGCGGGCACGCAGAACATATCGGTATTTCGGTCCGCGGTCTCCATAACTCCACACTGATGTTGGTTGCTTGTTGGTCGCGATCCACTGCGGAAGAGGGGGATCGGTGCGAGGGGGTGGAAGGCGAGTGAGAACGAGCGAGAAAAGGATCGCTTTCGGTCGGGGTGGATAGGTGGTCAGCGAGGAAAGAGGGGAAGAGCAGAAATTCATCCGATTGGCGGTCTGGCACCAGTCGGCAGTCCTACCGTCAATGAGAAGATGGCCGCTGGGCTCGGTGGAAGTGTCGCCATTGTTTAGTGTTTAGTTGTTTCACCCGTTTCTCGCATAATTTTCGTCGGGAAGCACGTTAAAAATGCCAAGCGCCTCGTTCACATCGTCGCGCAGCTACGTGCGGAGATCCCGGAGAAAAGGCGCGAACAGGATCCCTCTGCCTTCGAGAACCACCTCGGGTAAGAGAGCCCTGCATCCAGACCCTCGGTTCACTGCTCACCTGTCGTCTCTCGGCTCTTTTCTGTTCCCTTCACCTACTTCGATATTACCCGAGTTTAACCCCGTTCCGAGGATTCTCGCCGATTCCCCTGGTCAACCGACATCCTTCCCTTCCGTTACTCGTGTTTTTCGTTTACCATTCCGGACATCGCAAAGAGAGAGCAAGACAGAGGCGACAGTTAAACCTTACGCTACCCACGTCTCTTCTCTCGCATGATTTTCTCGCGGTTTCGGCTGCCCGAAAAAATACGCGACTCCCGATGACGTTTCCCCACGGTCGCACACCGTGTCCGCCGCACCAGCCCTTCTTTCTTT